CAGGCCTCCTCAGCTCAGTCCTCCTCAGCTCAGTCCTCCTCAGCTCAGTCCTCCTCAGCTCAGTCCTCCTCAGCTCAGTCCTCCTCAGCTCAGTTCTGACTCTTCTCTTTGTCCTCAGTACTTACACATCTAGCAGAATACATGGTCACATGTTACAAAGTTCATCACAAGTTCACACCATAAATCAAATCATAAATTGAAATAGAAGTTTACAACAGAGAATGTTCACATGCATATCCATTAGGAGTAACTACCTGGCTAAACGTCCATCACCTGTCTAGCTCCACAGGTGCACTGAAGGTTTAAAACCACAGCTAAGTTATTAGTGAACTTTGCATAGATAAACCCAGGCAATGTTTTAACTTCTGTTCTAGCACCTGTAATAAATCATGAGTTCCTTTTTTATGACCTTTGGTTAACTGTTTTACAACCTCTTGGAATGTGCTCTGCATAGGAGAAAGTCTGGTTACTACCTAAGAGCAGTAAACTGGTGACACTTGGGAGACTTGCAGAGTTCTCATCACAGTTTTGATTATCAGAAAAGGACCTAAATAGCAGTCCCACTATAAAAAGCTTAATAATCATTGTTATAATTTTAAGACTTCTTATAGGCTCATCATTAAGACGTAAGAAGTCATCCATTTGTCTATATAGCATCACCACAAGACAATACATCTTCGTGAGTCTGCAGAGATCTGCCCCAAAGGGGTGTGCTATTACTTATTGATTGTTACATATGTTTAATAAAAATAACAGGAAAAGCATATTAACAGCAGGAATCTTTCCTAAAATGAATCTCTTACAGTTTTGCTTAATAAGAACGCACCTGTCGCAGATTATATAATAATCCGAAGCAGGCCATCTCAGGATGATCACCTACTAGTTATTAGCTTGTCCCATTATGGCTCCTGACGCACATGGTGGCTCACAACCAATTGTAATGGGATCCAATGCCCTCTTCTGGTGTGTATGAAGAGAGCGACAGTGTACTCATACATAAAATAAATAAATAAATCTTAAAAAAGAAAGAAAGGAAGGAAGGAAGAAAGAAAGGAAGAAAGAAAAGAAAGAAAGGAGGAAAGAAAGGACGTGACTGCTCCTAGCTTTGGTGGAGGAGAAGGTTGTGGATAAACGAACAGCAGAGCCAGAGGCAGACATGTCTGGGAGGGTGCAGAGCTGTCATGATCCTGAGCCATTTGAAGACAGGGGAGGGGAGGGGATCGGGTACAACAGCCAAGAGGGTGAAGGTACAAAAAGGGGTAAGTGACCAAAGTGGCTGGATTTTACAGGGAAGGTTGCTGGAGAGGTTTAGGGTAGGGGGCAGGATATGCCCTGGAACAGGTAGTTACTGAGGGATGCTGGGAGAACCTAGTGGGCAGGTCTGCTCTGATATGTTAAATAAGCACCTGAGCCATTTGTCTCAGGATTTGAGACTGAACATTTATGCATACATGTTTTAATTTTCTTAATATTCAATTCATAGTTTTATGGTCTATGTGTGATATGCCTAAGATCTCTTTTTACTTTCTTTCCTTTCAGTCGTTGTTTTTAATTGACATAATAGTTGGTTCTGTGTGGTCCAGGAATGATCTCCCACAGCCAGACTTGGTCTGGAATGGGTGAGTTTATTAAGCATATGGCAACCCACAGTAGAGGAGGTAATAGCAATAGGGTGGGTATGTAGGTAGCTAGGCAGATAGACAGGCAGACAGACGTTATAATGAGTATTCCAAATATGCCACGGAAACTGGGTGAGGTGGCCAGCTGGAGTCCTGTGCAGGGCAGAGTCCCCTCAAGGGAGACTTCCAAGTGAAAGAAGGAACAGCAACAACAGAGGTGACATTACCAGATCCATGTTCACAGCACCCAACAGGAGCCGGGTGGGAAGCCTGGAGATGTAGCTGGAGTTCACGGCCTCTTTCTTGTCTTCCCCACGGCAAGCACTTGTGTGTCACGGGGTGGATGTGGTCACATCTATTAGAAATGGCTCCCCTTCCAGCTGTTTGCAAGGGCACAGCACTGTCACCCTGGGTTCTTCTCCTGGTCACACAGCCAGAGACTAGCCCAGCCCAGACAGGAGCCTTCGGAGGACACCTTGAGACTGGCAGAGATGGGGCTGCAGTGGGAGCCACTTCCCCGTGAGCTCTCACAGCACGGGGTAACTCACCAGCAGGGCGTGGATCGGCGGGTGCATACCATGACATCAGCTCAGCCTGGTTACACCTGTCACCTCACCAATCACGGGAACCTTCCTGGAATAAGCATCCTACACCAGGGAGATGTCAACAGGGGACCAGAGGCAGGCCAGCTCCTGCAAGGCCTCCATCCTGGGTGCATTCCCGTTTGTATTCTAAAGCTGCACACTGGAGTGGGCAGGCAAGATTCGACAGACGCATATGAGGCAGTCGGCAGGTTGTTAAGGGCAACGGCCCCTTCTGTTTCTCCTGGTCATTCTGCTCCAGGTCACATGTGAAGTCATGCTTGACAGGCAGTGCTCTAAGTGAGTCACTAAATAAATCAATATCTAGTCATTGTTTCCTTCCACCGTATTCTCCTTCACTGTGCTTCTCTGCGGTGCAACCTTCAGAATCCTCTCCCCTGGCCTTAAGCATCCATAAGTCACTGGAGATCGTTCTGCTTCAGGACTCACACGGGCTATTGACATTTCTTTTTTAAGAAGTGTGTGTGTGTGTGTGTGTGTGTGTGTGTGTGTGTGTGTGTGTGTCTGTCTTTACACACGTGCGCTGGCACATGTGCACACATGTGGAGACCAGAAGTTGACATCAGGGTCTTCCACAGTCGCTCTCCCCTGGTCTCACTGGGCCCAGAGCCCTCCAGCTCGCTAGGCTTGTGGATCAGCAAACCCCAAGGGTTCAAACTCAGGGCCATCCCCCAGCCCCAACTGTCTCAGCTGCTGTTCTCAGCCCCTCTCCTCCTTTTCCAGAAATATGGAAGGTGAGCTTGAAATGGTTCTGGAGTCCACTGCCAAGGAGAACAGGAGGATGCGGGGCCTTCTGCAGGCCACCCTGGAGAGGAGAGGCACACAGCATGCCACAGCTCCTCAGGACACCTACTTGAGCCGCCTCTCTCAGGGAGACCTGCTGATTGGCCATGATTTCAGCTATGGCGACATGCAGCTTCCTGCGACCATCAACCGCCAGAGTCTGGGGGAGTCTGTGGCGTAGACCTCTTGTCTGAGGTGTCTGTTTCCTGCGGGCTGGTAGATGGCTCCTCTCTCCAGGAGGGCCAGTGTCACCAGGAGGCCCATGGAAGCCACTGAGGGTCATAGACAAGAAAGAAATAAACCCGCCCAGGCATCAAATGCTTTTCTGTGTTTCTTTGGTTTCTCTCTCTCTCTCTCTCTCTCTCTCTCTCTCTCTCTCTCTCTCTCTCTCTCTCTCTCTCTCTCTCCCTCCCTCCCTCCC